GTTAGTTTGATGATGTCCCCGGAGTGAGTTCATGAAGGATTGTTATGCTAAACCCTGCAGGTGGATTAAATTCCGGCATAATAAGAATGTGATGAACGAGCGCTAGCTTCGGTGAAATAATAATAAATTAATTAATTCTTGATTGTCAGTAATCGAATTAATTAATGGACATTATATCTTAAACGTGGGGAGGTAAATCGAGTAATTATTATTGGAGTCTCAAATGTAATTTGGGCTAGGGAAAGGGAGTGCAATAATATAATGTTGGTGGCCCATTAATATTATTTAATTAATTAGAGGAGTGGGTTTGGCCCACAGTTAGTCTAATTAATTAAGGAGCCCTTTTCCTAATCTCCTTAGGGTCCCTACTGTAGCTCTATATATACATCATTAAGCTCATGAGAAGAGAATAGAACTCATTCTCACGTGAAACACGCCTCTCTCTCTAGATCTCATTCGAGCTTTATCTTCTTCTTGTTGCTCCACTGGTACAAGTTGAAGAAGGGTGTATTGAGTAATACAGTAGAAGATCTGTAGGTAAACCGAGACGAAATTGATTTTGACCTACAGAACTAACCGGAAGTCCGATTGAGACGTACAGTATACCCAGACGACCGTCTCGACGAGAGCTTTCCATCGCCGCCGACGTCGCCGGAATCCGACGCCGCACGCGCCCTCACGCGCCGCCGGAAGGTGTCTGGCAGCAAAATTTCGTTTTGATCTGTTTGCATCCGTTTGATCCAGTTTTGATCTGATCTTGTTCGTGCAACCCAAGACGCGTGTTGCGGTCAATCAATTGCGGTCAACCGTTCGTGGTCAACCAGATCTACATAAATTTTAAGCCGTAAGTTCTCTACGTCAAACCTTTAGATCCGCTGCGCATAGGTTTACGTTTGCTATTGAATTCGTGATTTGTACATAACGAGATCCTCACAGATCCCAACACCGCCGTGGCATGTCACGGCCGCCGTATGTAGTGAAAGGGTCAGCCTCGACGTGCGGGGATGGATAATCGCCGAAGGGATTCACCTCCGAGATTACCTCCTCGCCGTCTTCGTCGTCGGACGGTGGTTGTGGAGATCTCCAGCGGGGCGTCCCGCCCAGACCACGGCCTCCACGTCCGCCGCGAATTCCCCTGCACACGTCCTGGTTGCCGGCGTCACGGTACGTTGCATGTCCCGAACCATGGTACGGATAGTTAGACGTATGTCCCCGATCTCCGCGGACAGATCTGCAATCTGACGACCCATCGTCTCGAGCTCACGGCCAAACCACTCGTTCCGACGGCTCAGGTTGTAGATGGCGGCGACACTCGTGTCGTTTGCAGCATCTTGTCTTCGCGACAGCATCGTGAATCGTGTTGACATCTGATACCAACTGATGTAAGGAAGCGTACGAATGAGAAGGATAGATGAGATACTCTTTCATAAAACCAATCAAATCTTATTTCAATCCAAAATCAACCACTGAATAATATAGAATAGGGGTCTTTAAATAAGACACCCAAAACCCTAAAAGCTATCTTGTCCACTAAGTCACTAAATATTTAAACATTAAAATAATAATAATAATAGTAATAATAATAAACTATCCACGTCACTTCCCCTCCCCCTTTCTCCTTTTTCTCCCAACCAAACACTACCTTATAAATATTCGTGTTAATTTTTTACACAAACTCTCTTGCATACAAAATATCATCGACTATATATGCGAATTGAGCTTCGGAGTGTCTACATCGGGTGACAGGTCGAAAAACGTGTATTTTTTATATAATTACTAGTACGAATATTGTGCGATGTACGACTAAGAGATATTTATTAATACTTATAAAATAAAAATACTCATTAAATAATATTTTCAAAATTAAAAATATGGAATCAATATATAATACAACTTACATATGTTAACTTATTGAAAATGTTATATGAAATTTAAATTGTGCAAAATCACATAAAAAAATGTATATTTAAAATTAGTACACAAACCGTACGGTGCATTTAACTGATAATAAATTACCTTATATTTATTTCAAAATAAGTGTCATTTTAAAATTTTTGTTCAGAAATTCAATTTGACTACAATGTGATTCCATAAATAATTATTTTGGTAAAATTTTATCATATATTTAAAAAATCGATGTGAATAATGTTTATTGTGTTTTTGTGCTTATTTTTATGTATTTTATGTGCTTAGTTGAGTCGGTTTTAGGTTCATTTTTTCTTGTTAATCAGTCCATTTTAGTTATTTCGTGTGTTTATATTTGAATTTTGTGTTTTGTGTTTTTGACGTACTTTCCCGTGTGTTTTGGTGTCTGATAGGTCCATTTGTTAGAGTTTGAAAGAGGAGTAACCGAGCCGAGTCCCGAGCACGCGAGTTGAAATCCGAGCACGTCATCTTCGTCCATATCCGAGTCATTGTCTGTGTTGATGATCCCGAGTCCCGAGAAATAAGCAATTCCGAACCATTTCTGAGCCATTTCAAAGTAATCCCGCGTTTTATCGAACTTTTGTTGAGTCGATGTCGCGACCACCCGTGCACTTGCCCGCGCTTTAGCTAGGCGAATCGACACTCTCCCGCACTCCCAAGGAGAGCAATGACACTCGCCCGCTATTTCGCCCGGGTGACCAGGACAACTCGCTATCGTAGACTTGCCCGCTATTTCGCCAGGCGGCTAGGGCACTCTTCCGTGCATACCCCACACTCGCCGGGTTTCGCCCGGGCGGCCCTGACACTCGTCCATGCATACTATACACTCGCCCGAGTTTAGTGTTTGTTCCATCTTTGTTGCGTTTTTCGTTGTCTTTTAGTCTTTATTTTTCCTCCATTTTAGGTGTTTTAATTGGTTTTTAGGTCGTTTTATAGTTTATTTAGTGTTTGCTCTCTTCTTGGTCTTTCTTGTGTTTTTCGTTCGTTTTTCTTTTTTTCGTCGTCGTTGGTGTGTAGGTTGGAAGTCTCGGGAGAACAGGATTTCAAAAAAATACTAGTTGGGCAAGCCTAATCAAAGAGAGGAGTTCGTTGAGAACACACAGGAAAAAGCAGAATCGAATTCCGAGTTGAAACGAACTCAAACGGGCCCGAGAAGCAAAGTCGTGCGAGCTGCCCACCTGCCCAGGCCCCGCAGCGTGCCAGGCCCCGCGCCCCGCCACTCGTGCATCACCCCGCCGCAAAGACCCTGCCGCACCACGAGATCACGCCCTGCCGCGCCGCGCCGCCTGTGCCACGTCGTGCCAACTGCTTGTGTATATAAATGAGATCGGCACTTTGCAAGAGGACGATCCCTCGACTCCAGAACATAAAAACCCTACCCTCTCGTCTCTTTTCTCTCGTTTTTCATCTTCCTTTCATATTTTTCATCGTAGAACACGGATTTGAACTCGGATATCACTATTGCTTTCGGATTAAGCTTGTTTATCGTATTCAACCTTGGGATTTCATCACTCATAAGATTTTCTTTTCATTTAATCTATGAATATGTTTGTCTTGATTGTTGAGATTGTTTGTGTTGAATCGATTATGATTGGCTAAATCCATATGCTAGGGATAGGGGATTGATGTTTTGGTATCGTTTGTGATTGTCGGGTTCAGGATTGTTCAATTTCATACGAGTTGATCTTTTTCTAGGGTTTTTCAATTGTCGGGCTCGAGTATTTAGAACTGTTGAAGGGTGACACTTCAATCCCCAATTGTTTGCAATTGAGTTCGATATATTCTTGCTTGATGTTGGTTATTCTAAACGGACTAGTTGATTAAATACCTTCTAGTCTACTTTAATCAACTCTTAGAACCGAAAGGGGAGGAGTCGGTCGAAATAGGCTCGTATGAACTAGGCTTGTTCGTAACTGTATTGCCTAGAAGTTAAATGAATTGTTCATTTGCCGTTCTAGTTTGTTCTCTTGTTACGAAAAGTTATTGAGAATGAGTACTTGAACGTGTCGATTATTCAAATCACTTAGCTGAACAATCTCTTGCTTGATAATTGCGTTTTCGAACCAAAACGGATATCCCCGACTCCTTAGCTCCTTAAATCCTACTTGTTCTTCGTCGATTGCTTGCTATTCTTATTTGCCTTGTTTGAAGTCTTTTTCGTAGTTAATAATCAAACCATATCATCTGAATTAAAATGTTTAGGAATTTTTATTTTATTTTGTGTGGTTGAATAAACGTGCGTAATAATCCGGCTAACCTTCCTCGAGAGACACGACCCGGTGTTCGAATCTTTAGATTCTACTCCGAAAAAAAATATTTACAACATTTAGCCAGGCGAATTGGCACTCGCCCACGGATCCCTACACTAGCCCAGCATTTCGCTGGGCGAATCATCACTCGCCCGCACGCCCAAAGAGAGCAACGACACTCGCCCGCTATTTCGCCCGGGCGACCAGGACAACTCGCTATCGCCCCCTTACACTCGCCCGCTATTTCGCCAGGCGGCCAGGGCACTCGTCCGTGCATACCCTACACTCGCCCAGGTTTCACCCGGGCGGCCCTGGCACTCGCCCATGCATACCGTACACTCGCCCGAGTTTCGCCAGGTGAATTGGCACTCGCCCACAAATTCCTACACCCGCCCAGCATTTCGCCGGGCGAATCGGCACTCGCCAGCACGCCCAAGGAGAGCAATGACACTCGCCCGCTATTTCGCCCGGGCGACCCGGACAACTCGCCACCGCCCCCTTACAGTCGCCCGCTATTTCGCCAGGCGGCCAGGGCACTCGCCCGTGCATACCCTACATTTGCCGGGGTTTCGCCTAGGCGGCCCTGACACTCGCCAATGCATACCGTACACTCGCCCGAGTTTCGCCAGGCGAATTGGCACTCGCCCACGGATCCCTACACTCGCCCAGCATTTCGCCGGGCGAAAATTGCCCATTCTGGGCGAGTGTGTTTACTAAAAGTGTGTGTTTGAGGTGTAACTATAAATAGATATTGTGTTTTGTATTTTTGGACACCACTATTCATTTCCCAACTTTTAAGTTAGGAAATCTTTTCTATTTTCTCTCTTTTATTTTTATGTTTTGGTTTGGAGTTCCAACTTGACCTTTTTCGGCAATTTACTGGCGAATCTATTTTCGTTCAAAATTCAATCATTACGCATTATTTTCGTCCGAGCTTGCAATAGGAGGATAAGTACTACGCATTATTTTCGTCCGAGCTTGCAATAGGAGGGTAAGTACCATGATAGGGCTTACTACTTCCAGTTTGTGTTTTCGGAATATTGTGTTGATGCTCGATTCTTTGACTTTGATTTATTTTCATTGATTGTTTGAAGTGTGTACGGATTCGATACGAACTATACAAGGTTACACGTTACAAACGTCAGTTATCTTAAGAGGTCAAAGCTCCACAGTTTCTTGTGGCGATTCACCGGAAAAACACCGCCGCCGATGGAGCCAGTAGCGATCCGGTGGTGCGCCCCCACATTGATTCTCCTGGTCATGCTCCTCATTCAGCCGACCATGTCGATCTACTGCGATGAGGACGACTGTTACGATCTCCTAGGGTACGGAGACATTGCCGTTTTTCCTGGCTCATTACACCCAACTTTCCCACTTTATTCATCAATTGTGTTTGTAAATATTAATTCTCAGGGTTTCCCAAAGTGCCAATGCCTCCGAGATTAAGAAAGCATACTACAAGCTATCGCTTAAACAGTAAGGCCCCCTTCCGTTTGTTGTGATTGGATTTATGGGTTTTTTTTTTTTTAATCCTATGGATTTTTAGTCTCTGCATTCTTGTTGCTGGTTTTATCAATCTCACGTAGTCATCCGGACAAAAATTCTGATCCAGAATCCAAGAAGCTGTTCGTGAAGATTGCTAATGCTTACGAGGTAAATTCGCCGTAATTTGGTTCCAACTGGATTTGGATTTCATTGAGATCTCTGTCTAGCTATTTTTTCTGTAAAATTAGATCTCTTTTGTGCATGCATCGGTTTTATGGTACCGTTTTTAGTCGAAGCGTGTCTCAATGTGCTGCTCGTGCACTTGAAGCTATTGTGATTGAGCGAATTGAGGTTTCAATTGATTTATTTAGGCTTTGATTATGTCAATTCTTTGACATGGACTGGATGATTCACTTGTGAAAGAGTAAAATGATCAGTATAATATGTGATTTGGTTGGATTTGTGGTGGATCTCATAAAATTTAGTACTGTTCTTGTTATATAGTTATCCCTATGGCATTGGATTTTAAATTGTTTCAAGAGATATTTTGTTGCCACCGACTGACTTTTTGTTCGAAAATATTCAGATTTTGAAAGATGAAGCCACGAGGGAGCAGTATGATTATGCAATTGCACATCCGGAAGAGGTCTGTTAATTGGATGCTTATTTCTGTATTATGTGAATATATGCAAAAACAATTTTAGGGGATTGTATTTTTCACTCTATTATGCTGCCACTGTTAATTGTGTTTCTTGGTCAAGCCATAGTTGTTGAGTTGGCGGACTTGGGACATGTTACATAACTATGATGTAAAGTTTAATTGGAGAAGAAAGGTAGAACTAAATCAGTTCTACATCATCATCATTCTAGTGTAACATATATAAACTAAGGAATTATTGACTAAGGATTTCATATTATTATCGTTTTGTCGATTCTGTTTNATTGTGGATCTGCACGAGGTTTTCTACAATGTTCTGATCAGTAAACATTAAGTAGTATTGCATAAGGATGTTTTACCTAGCAATTAGCACATGGTCCTTCACAAATAACAACATTGTTATGCATCACTACATATGCCGTCGTGTTTGCCATATGTCTTGTACAGAATTACTTCATTAGAACTAAATGAACACTCACATTTTCGTGCGCTGTATTATGCAATTGATGCCAAAAGTATCTGGAAGAACCTATCTCTATCTTCTGGTTTTTTCAATTTTGCTATTGTTTAAGTGATTTTTCATTAGTGCCAACCGTTTTGCTTTGATCTTTCTTTTCGTGAAATCTAATCAACTTGCAACTAAAGGTAGCCCGTTTCTAAAACACTGTCCGTTTTTAGGTATTGTACAACACAGCAAGGTACTATCGTGCTTACTATGGCCACAAGACAGTAAGATTTCCTTTTCTTCCCACTATTTATGTTTATCCCTTACTATTGCACTATACTACAGTTACTCAAATCTTTAACGCCTTTATCTGTAATGCTGAACATCTGACCTTACTGAATATTAACTATATCCTTTTACTAGGATACTCGTGCTGTCCTTGTGGGTCTTCTTTTGGTGCTTTCAGGATTTCAGTATCTGAACCAGTGGACAAGGTATAATCAGGTAAAAAGAGATGCTATATGTAGCTTAAAATGATTATAATTTTGATTAAAGACAGCTTTCCTGGAGTTAACAATCATGAACTGAGGTAAAAGGAGACAGCTTTACTATTCAACTGGTTCTATTTTCCAGGCTATAGATATGGTAAAAAAGACTCCTGCTTACAAGAACAAGCTAAAGGCATTGGAGCTTGAACGCACTGGAGGGACGACAAATAAGAGAAAGGGAAACAAGCAGATAAATAAGTATGACCTTCATAATATATATTTACTAGTCAAATTCTATGTAAATCGTATCGTGCAGGGACGACATTTGTTTCAATTGAAATTGTGATTAGATACAAAATACTTTCAGAAAATACATTATTTATTTTATGTGATTTTTTCTCCCCAGTTCCATCCATACAATTTAAAAATAAAAGTCAGTCATTGCTACATATTTCCCAACAAAAAACACTATTCACCCACTAACATATTCATAAGTACAATCATTGTCAATCAATATATCACTATTTCCATCTCACATCAACTATAATAATTTTTATTTTACCGTATATTCATTCACAATGTAAAAAATACTCTGTCCTACCTCGGCAAACTTTGTCAACTTTCTCTCTCTCTCTCTCTCTCTCTCTCTCTCTCTCTCTCTCTCTCTCTTTTGTTTGATGACATTAATATTTCCCAAAAAAATCTGTACACCTTGCATTAGTATTTCAAAGTTAAAATCTCAGGAGTTCTATTTTCGGATAGGAAAGTGGAGGAAGACTTTGGCAAGGAACTTGAACTGCAGATAAAGGGAGCAGAGAAGCCATCTGTTTGGGAACTTGTTGGCATTCGTTTCATCTTACTGCCTTACACTCTTGGAAAGGTCAGTATTGCAGTGTTTTTCTTTTCAAATGTGAGAAAGCCATTGGTTTCTACTTGGCTGTCCCCACTTCCTACCTTTTTCTTTTGTGTTTTGCATGGAGAGATAAATTGTAACTTAGGATTGAAAAATTATTGAACCTATTTACTGATCAGCTTTATCTACAGTTGTTATTGTGGAATCTTTGTTGGCTTTGGCGGTACCAGGTGAAAAAAGCACCATATTCGTGGCAAGATGCCTCCTATCTAACAAGAAGATCCCTGGGCGTACCATTGGATTCATGGAATTACATAGGTAATTACAACGTCCACACTAGGGCTGCAAATGAGCCGAGTTGAGCAATGGCCTTATCAAGCCAAAATTGACTCACTGTTGCTTGAGCTCGAACTCGACGAGCCGGGTTTCTTAGAGCATTCACAATGCTTTGGGTCTCTTAAAAAAATATCATGTAGGAAATAGATCTGGTCTATAAAGTAATATTTTCCAATGCAATTAAAAGTGGACATGGTCTAACTTATGTGGCTATCAAAAAAATAAGACCAAGTCCACTCTTTGGTCTATTTTGGACCCAAGTACAAACCTCAACAGTCATCATTTATTCCTAATTTAATTTTTCTTTTAATAGAGAAAGCATATTAGAACATTTTTATTGGTTGGCAGGTATTCTAGACCTAGTATTTTATTTCTGCACCGGATAGATTTTGGGGTTTTTTTTTTTCTTGGTTTGTCTATATCATTCATGACTGAAGTCTATTTATATGCCACATATGTAAAATTAGACCCAATGCATTATGGGTGCTCTTAAGGCTTGGGTTGACTTGACAAAAATATACAGATGCTCAAGATCGGCTCGAATTTCCATCTGATCGATTTTTACTTGAGTTCTGCTTGAATTTTCTGTAAAAGTAACTATTTGAATAAGATTTTTTCTCAAGTTTAGCTTGATTTTGGAATGAATTTCACTCGAGTTAGGAGTATTTAGGTAAATCACACTTATAATTGATCGGCTCATAAAGCAATCAAACTTATAAAATATTAGACCAGGGTTTGGGTTTGAAGTGCTCGAGCTCGAGTTGAGCTTTGACTCGAGCCGCTCAATTTGTGTGTAGCCCTAATCCACATCAGATCACATTGGTGTTTAATCAATTTTGGATTTTTGTATGTACTCATCTATCTATTGCACGAAAGAATTGCTTTCCAAGAATATAGTTTACATAGAAAAAGTTCAGTTAGCAAATTCAAATTGCAAAGAACATCTTGGTCTTTTTCGAGGAGCAATGTATACTTGATTGGGATCTAAGCAATACTTTATTGGTATCTAAGTATTAACACTTGGAGAAATTTTTAGT